TTACAGCTGATTTCAAAATTAGTGGGACACGTGATAAAATTTTTGTCGATCATCAGTGAATTTTCGGTAATTACATTTACCGAAAATTTTTTGTATTTGTCGGTAATTATGCTTTTCGGCCGCAATACAATTTTCGGTATATTTATTGGGGACGACAATAACAATTTAGTGACACAAACACAATGTCACAACATTTACCTTTACTTAGTTATCGCTCTAACGCTTGTCCTATCTGTTCAGTATGTTTTATATGCTTGAAGATTTATGGTGAAGACTGTCTTTGTCAACCTATAGAGCTTAATCGCAAAAGCAAGAGCAGTGAATATCAGCAAGGTTTTCGTAATAAACATATTACACGCACAGGAGCTAACAAACAAAAAAAAAAGTATGATCAAGAGTTCGTGGATTGGTTTCAAAGCAATGTATCTAAAGTTGATATTTTGGATCAAAACTTTGTGAATATCTGTTTGAAGTGTATAAAACAATATAAAGATGGTAAATTTTTTTAAATTTTTTTATTTGCAGTTTATTATATTCGGTATATAATTTAATAAATAATAATTATATATTTATAATTTTAGATCAAAAAAAAAATCAATATGAATCAAATGAAAATATCAATATTATAGATGAAACTATTGAAACTATAGATTTAACAACTAAACAATCGTTAGATTTTTCTTTTGTACCAAATTTTTCTACATCATCTAGTTTACCTATTATTAACAATAATAAAATAGTTGAAGTAGAAGCTCCTGTAACAATAGAAGTTCCTGTAGTTAAAACACCGGATGGTATAAAATATAATAAATATGTTATACAGTATATTTTATATTATATAACATTTTAATTTATTTATTTATTATGATTATCTTTTATATTTAGTATTTATTACATTGGTGTGTTATAATAAATTTGAAAAACCTCATAAGAAATTAGATGGCGCATTGGCTATTCCATTTAATCCTAACAATATAAAGTCTTTTGGAGATATCGAAGAAGAAATTTTGTCACGCACACTTCCCAAGCAATGGGGAAAAATTGAACTTGGCCGTATTTGTTTTCAAACCTCAAGTACTTCAAAGGCAGATCACTACGATTTAAAATCTGATGGTGCAATTATAGCATTTGTTGCTGAGATAAAGCGTAAAAAAAATTTGCAATTATGTGTTTATCAAGAACCAAAAAATAAGAATACACGTAGTTATGAAGAATCAAATCAATCAAATAAGAGAATTCGTGTAAGTTATATTTTATATATTTAATTAAATTAATATTACGGCTAATATTAAAATTAGCTAATACTGAATTTAAGATTATGATTTAAAAATATAAGCCTTATTACATATACTTTTTAATTAACAATTTTAATCCTAAACCTTAACTATAAAAAAGCAAATAAAAAATATTTCAAAGAATTTCTAAAACTTTATATCAACTTTTAGTATTAGTTAATTTAATATTAACTATAATAATTATAAAATTAAAATAAATTTATTATATTATTAGACACTTGAAACAGATTCAAATACCATAGCTACCTTAAATACTATCAAAAAAAATATTTATGATAATCTTCCAGCCTGTTCTATACATACTCAAGGATGTTTAATTTCAGAAGATGGTCAGCATTTAAAGCTAGATAGTGAAGCAATAACATTATGGGCACGTGCAATTGTAGGTTATTTATAATTAAATATAAAAGACTTGGTTCATCTTGAGATAATTAGATAGTATTTAATTAATGTTTAAAAATCAACTAATTGTATTTATTATCTTAAGTTGGATCAAGCTTTATATTAGTTTTTTTACATTAAATATTGTTTAAAAAATAATAAAATTTTAAACTTTAATATATGTAATACTTTATATTATTAAGCTTACTCAAATGAAAGATGTTAATGAAAAAACTCCACCAAATTCACCATTATTTGATAAATCTAAATATCGATACCCTACATCAAATCGTCCTTTAAATAATACATCTCAAGGTATATAGTATATAATTGTTTTTTGCAGTTGAATACAAGATATTTGAGTACTTTATAAAGTAAATATTCGGGTACTAACTACAGTCAAACCTCTTTATAATCACACTCTTGGTTTTAAGAATTTGGTGCTTATAGAGAGTTTGTGCTTATATAGAGGTTAAATTTTATAAGTGCTATATAAGTTGGTTTTAAAATTTTATATAATTATAAGCAAATATAACTATAGAGAAGGTGACTATAGAGAGGTCTGACTGTATATAGCATAGTATATATTATTTTTATGTAAAATATATCTCTTATATATATAATACTCGGGTATTAACTTGGACTTTAGTTATAGAATATATCATATCTGGATATTATAGTTTACGATATATAATATATGAATTCTATCTTTATTTTATAGTTATCTATCTAAAATTTATTAAGTTTATAATTTATTAATAATAATTTATATTTTTAATAAAATTTTATTAGAAAATATTATTACATCATTAGAAATTACATCTCCAAAAATTGCATCAAGATTACAATCTATTACGGTTCATACTAAAAAAAAATCACCATTTAAAGCAAATATTCATGTTACAAAAGATATGACTTTTCAAGACTTGCTTACATTTATATTTCCCAACGGTTCACCAAATGGAAAACGATTCCTTATCAAATCTTCATTAGAATTGGATGGAAAAAGCTTTTTACCTGATCAAATAATAAGTCAAGTATTTGCAGAAGAACATGTACATGTTTGGATAGAAATTGAAACTATTGAAGTTAGATTTGATGAATTGTTTGATTAGTATATTCTTACAATTAATCAAACTAATTCGTCATATAAACAAATAAAATTGATTTTTGTTACCTAGCCAGGTAACTTTTTTGCAAGAGTTGTTATTTGTATATACCAATAGCTGGTATATTTTTAAATTAAGGGACTGCTAAGCAGCCGTGAAGCCTATATCTATTAATGCCTATCGGCATAAGATACTTACCTAAATTAAAACCTTAATCGGTAGTCATTGTATAATCATACTAAACAGCTTTATGTATCTATTCATTAAGGTCTTTGCACTGCTATGTAGCCGTAGAGCCTTATATCTACCAATACCCATCGGCATCATATGCTTTAGCTATTAATTGGTAATCATTGAGCTGCTTTCAGTCACTAAGCCATGATCATAGCAAATTCTAATTCATAAAGTCATTGAGCTGCAATTAAGATCTTTGCGCTATGCAGCTATAGTGCCTTATATCTATTAATGTCTATTGGCATAATATACTTACACTAAGCAGACTCTTTGTCATATATTCATTAAGGTTGTTGCACTGCTATACAATGTAAACCTTACATTTACTAATACCTATCGGCATACTGCTTAAGTCATTGATCAAGTGGTCATTGCACCGCTTTCAATCACTGAGCCACGATCATGTTAAGCAAACTCTAATTCATAGTTAATGAGCTGCAATTAAGGTTCTTGCACTGCTACAGAACCTTATATCTATTGATACTTAATGGCATAAAATACAAAAGTTAAAATATTGACCAGACACTACATATCAAATAATCATTGAGCTGCAAATTAGATCCTTGCACTCTATATAGCCGTAAAGCCTTACATCTATTAATGCCAGACTTTATGTAATGCTAAGGTTCTTGCAATGCTACGTACCTTACAACTACCTATACTATTGGCATACGATACTTAAATCATTAGTTGAGTGGTCATTGTACTATTTCTGTATTTTCAGTTACTGAGCCACGATCATACTAAGCAAACTCTAATTCATACAGCTATTGAGCTGCAATTAAATTTTTTGCACTACAACACAACCGTGGCACCTATATCTATTAATTGTTAATTGGGTGATCACTGCACTAAGCCGTGATTATACTAAGCAGGCTTCATATCATATACTCAATTCTTCAATAATTAAGATATATTTAAAACTTTGAGTATCAAGTAGAAAAAAATCTTGTTTCTGTACAAAGAAAAAATAAATTATATATATAAAATTTGCAGCCTAACAATGAATATATATAATAATAAAATTGTTTCTATAAATTTTTATTAAAAAACAATTATTGTAAATATCCACTATGTTGAAAGCATGCACGAGCTAAATTTGCATTAATTGTCATACAGGTTAGATCTAAAACCTCTAAAGAATTTTCCATTGATTCTGCCCAATCTCGATTTTGACGTAAGTAATTTTTAATATAAAAAAAAGCTTGCTCAATCTATATAAATAAAATCTAATTAGTATTAAATAATAAATATAGATCATTATAATTTTATAACTTACAGGATTATAATCGGGTGAATATGGTGGTAAAAATTCTAATTTGACACCTTTTTCTTGACATAGATTGCGTAAATGTTGTCCTTTATGTATACTTGCATTATCTAATACTAGTACACTAAATCGTTCAGGAAATGGATTCATTTTTGGTAACTATATAATTTAGATTTATTATATTATAAATTATTTATTTGCTTATTTATTTTATTAACAAAAAATTTTTCTTGATTATTTTACTATTAAAAACTCTAAACCCTAACTCTAATATATATAAATTTAATAGAATTAACTTAC